TGGGAACCCAAACCCTGCCCACTCCTTCCTGCCGGGTGCTGGCGGGTGGCTGGGCTGCAGGGCTGCTCCCTGTCGACACCCGTGCCTCTCCTGGCCAGTGGGATTCCATCCCCAGGCCCCCATTTTAGAAGGAGCCGGCTGCTGGTGAGGGTGACAGCCTGGTGACCGGATGGGAGCTGGTGGCTTCTAAGGAAGCCTCCCCTCTGGAGGGAGGGACAAAAATCTCAGGACTCGAGTCCCTGGGGGCAGATGAGGGAGGGAGCAGGGTGGACGTGCAGACTTGCAGCCGGCCTCGGGTGGGAGCTACAGCCAGGGAAGCGGCTGCCATCGGAGCACCCCCAAGGTGCAGCTTTCGGGACTTTTTAAAATCAGGAAACTGAGGCCCACGACCAAGCCCCCAGATGCCAGTGATGACCAAGTCCCCTAATCAATGCTGCCTGCCATCTCAATGCCCCAGCGTTTAGGGCCAGATCCTTCCCTGCTGGAAAACACAGGTTGTGGGGCCTGGCAGAACTGTTCTCTCCGAGCCAAGGAAGATGTGGGCACCAGACGCTGGCCGGCAGGTGGCCTTCGCCCTTCCGGGTGAGCAGGTGGGCGGTTAGGGAGGGAACCTCTGCCAGATCCCGGCCTGAATCTGGAGAATGTGGGGCCGGATTCCAATGCGTCTCCGTGGTGACTCTGGGGCAGGAATGCCTCCGGAAAGGGGAAGCCCAGTCAGCAGCAGGAATGCAGTGTCTCAGCACAAAGCTTGTGTGTGGCTCAGAGACCCCACCCCCACCCCGCAGCCCATATACACGCCCCTCTAGGCTGCAGCCCCACCCCCGTGCCACTGCGAGAGCAGCCACAGCCCTCCCGGGAACCAGGTCTGAGGTCCTTCCCTCCCCTAGCCACCCCTAGCTGAGCAGCCACCCTGACTTCCTCCGAAGAGTCATAGTCATAGGCCAGCAGAATCAGCCGGCCATGCCCTTGGCCCCTCCACCTCCAGTGGGGAAGCCCCATTTCCGGAAGTGCACTTCCTGCAAGCTCAGCGCAAAGCTGCGCCCTGGGGAAGGAAGGGCAAAGCCAAGAGCCTGGGCAGCTGCTGCCAGGCTGGAGAGTCCAGGAGGGGCCCGCTGAGCTCTCTCCCTGGCCAGCAGTGGCTGGGGCTGTGTCTGGAAGGCTGACTCTGGTGACAGTGGGGCAGCTCCCCACAGCAAATCAGAAAGCCTGCATGGGGGCTGTGGTTCCATTCCTGGCTCCTCACCTGACCAGCTAGGAGTCCTTGGACCAGAATCTTAACCGCCCTGCCCCCAGTTTCTTCGTCTATAGGATGAAGGAGGCAGGTAATGCCTATCTTGGAGCTGTGAAGAGGCAGTTAAAGCACTGAGATGTCCCTAGCACATCTAAAGTGCTCCATTGTTATCTAGCTGCGCTAATCTGGGAACTGTGGCTTGCTTTCCCAGCTCCCCAAAGGGGGTCCTAGTAGGAGCCACTTCTAACCAAATCTGTCATTTCTGGTGTTGTTCCAAATGCAGGAAGTACAAGATGCAGGCACACAAATGAGCAGCTCGCTGGAGTGGGGTGGAAACGAGGCCGGACCCCAACTGTGTCCTCTTCCACTCCTTATGACACCGCGGGCCAACGTGGTGTGTTATGGAGGGGGTCTGTCTTATCCATAGTCCAACCCATCCTCCCCAACCTGGCATTCCCCGCTTGACATTTTTGGTGTCCTCAGGGCCTTGAGATAAAGTTCACACCTCAGCTGGCATTCGAGGCTCTCTTGCTGTAAACAGCTTTCTGCCTGCAGCGGCCCCATCTCTGCCTTTCCGTACCTGGCCGTCCTTTCCACACACGGCCACTGCTCGTGTTCCAAGGTAGCCCTCAGCACTCCCTGCCACATTGCATTGTGTCATTCTTGCCAGCTTGGTTGCTGCCACTTGCCCATCATCTTCAGGGAAGCGAGAAAAGCGCTGTACAGTATCTGTCTGTGTCCTCATCGCGGGCATTTACCAGCAAGCGCAATTCCCTTTCCGGAGCATGCTCCCTGCCATGGGCAGCACTAGACACAAGGTGGCACCAAAGAGACCACCCGTTTCCCACCAGCCTTGTGGGCCCCAGCGATTGCTGTGCCTACTATAAAAATAAAGGCTATTGGGCAGCCATCCAGGGAAAAGGTGACGTGGTGGTATCAAGGCGTGAATTATATCCACAGATGTCGGAGAAGGTAACACACAGTCTGCATCAAGATCCCTTCTCCAAAGAGCCAGATCACACAGGTTGCGCTGAGACCGGACCCACTGAAGCCAGCTTTGATGGCCCCAGGAAAGTAAACCTGACTGATTGGGAGCCAGGGCAGGTCTGGAGCACCCAGAAGCACCATGGAGAACCTTCTGAAAGCCGGGTGTGGTGGTGCACAGCTGTAATCCCAGCACTTGGGAAGCTGAGGCAGAAAGATTAAAGTGAATTGGAAGTTGAAGTTGGCTAGGGCTACAGAATGAGTTCAAATTCAGTCTGAATTATGTAGCGAAACTGTCTCAAAGAACAAACAAAAAAACTTCTGAAGCCAGGCATGGTAATGCGAACCTGTAATCCCAGCACTTGGGAGGCTGAGTCAGAAGGATCACCTTGAGTTTGAGGCCAGCCTGGGCTACACAGTGAGCTCAAGGCCAGCATGAACTACATAGTGGGAAAAAACAGAAACAAACAACAACAAAAAGAGCTAAGGATGCGCACACCCCAAGGTGAAGAAGAAAGCTCTTCAGCAGGGGACAGCAGGCAGGCACTGGCAGGTGGGCCTGAAGAAGTGAACTAAGAAGGGACACAGGAGACATTCTCTATCCAGAGGCCAGGGAAGGCGAGAACTGGAAAGAAACACATCAGCTTGATTGTGTGCACGCATATACATACATTTATAGAGCTCTTATCCAACATTTTGCATAGTGAATTCCGTTGGCCTCTGCCCGCGCCCCCAGATCCTTCTGTCTCCGTTGCACCTTGTACACAAAGGTAGCAAACATGGAGGCCACTTCAGTCTGTGGCGCAGGGGAAAGACTGGGAGGGTGGGGCTACTCCTGGCACCTGAAGCCCCAGGAGGGTCCCAGTCCTTGGCCTCATCCAGTGAGGGCGAAGGGGTCTTGTGTCCCCAAACTTAGTTCGTGGAACAGCCACCCCCCACCCTCACCCCTTCCCTGCCAACTTGCTGTCCGCGGGGCGGAGCCTGATGGTGCCCCGGGCTCAGGCCCGAGAGCTGAGGGCAGAGGGTGCCGAGTAGCGCTGGCAGGCGTGCTTCTCACAGTACAGCTCGTCACCCACCCAGAAGTGGCCACGCATCTTCAGGTTCAGCCCGCAGTCTGCACAGGTGTAGCAGCCGGGGTGGCGGTACCGGCCCTCCTGAATGCGCACAGCCTGGTTCCTGGAGGGGGATTGGAGGACCAAGTGTGAGGCCATCGCTCCCAGGGAGCCCAGTCCCCAGGCAGAGTCAGGACCCAGGATGTGGAGTCCTTCTCAGGAATCTCACTCAGACAACCATGAGCGCACACACAGACGCACCACACACAATCCAACAGCACGTGCATCCCAACACACAGAACACACAGACCCACCACCCGGAGCCCTGCTCACAGGGGAGGGGAGACACAAAGGCTGACAAAAGCCCAGACCCTGCCCTCTCGGGGGAGCTGTGGTTCTCAGTGTGGCCCCAGGAACAGGACCATGGCTGGAGTGCCCACTCTGGGCCTGCAGCCTCCTGAGGCGGATGGTCCAGCTAGGCCCCGGCCCAGCCGCCCCACTGGAAATACACCCACTAACCCTGTCCCTGCACGCCGCAGGGCTGGGTCTTTGCCCCTTCTTGAGCTTCAGCCATCCAGGTGAAGGGTTTGCCTACAGCAAATCACCTGACCCTTGATCAACACATGGAAAATTTACCTGAGGGGGCGGCAATCTGGCAAAGACTACACCCTACCCCAGTGCCACCCACTGAGAACAAACCAACCCTGGAAACCCAGCCTGCACCGTGGGCTGGGGAAGGGAAGAGAGAGATTTTCTAGGAGGGGCCTTGTTTAGGGGTAGATTTGAGGCCTGGAGGTTGTGGAGGGGAAACTGCGAGCAGCAGCATTTCTCATTGCTCCGGGGAGAGGAGGGGACTGGGGAGCAGGAGATGCAAAGAGGAGGAGGAGGTGGGCAGGAGGCTGCAAACAGCCCCACCCGCAGTCCCAGGGCTGCCTCCAGGGTCCTGCCCGCCCTGCCGGAGGGCGTCCCACTGGTGTCCTGTCCCTGTCCCCCACACTCACGCAATGCTGGCGCTGCACTTCTCACAGGTGTGGAGCTTGGGCGGAGTGGTCAGGGCCCTGGACGTGGGCAGGAAGGACTGAGGGCTCAGGGAGCTGGGTACACAGGCAGGTGTGCCACCTGGGGGGCGGGAGACAACACACCCAAGCTCAGCCACCAGAGCCGTCTGTGTTCACCGGCGCCCCTGAGGGTCCACTCCAACACAGCTCTGCGGCACAGCAGGCGTGGGTGATGGCCAGCTAGACTCTCGGATGAGGCTGCTGGAGGGCCAAGCCCGCCCTTCCGGCCCTGGGAGCATCTGTGCTGAGTCCCTGCTTTGACCCAGGCGAGCTGCCACCAATAGCAAACAATCCTGGTTCATCACAGCACCAAAATGCCTTTGTCCACTCTTCAAAGGGCTTTTATAGGCGCCACTGCCCATGAGCCATGAACCTCCTGCACTGTCCGTTCTGCCACTCCGCTCCCTCTCCTGTCTGCCCCATTGTCTCTCTCCTGTCTACTTTTTTTGCTGGTCTTGGCCACCCAAAGAACATCCTGCTTCCCGCAGCAGAGAGCTGGCCAGGCCTGTCTGCCCCAATAATCAGGGTTCCTCAGGGGCAGCGTGAGGTTGTGGCCATCTTCCATCCCCACACTGGACACGTCTGCTCTGTCAACAGGCACAACTGTGTTTGTAGAATGAATAACTGAGCACACCGGCCTGCATTAACCATGGCCTCTGACCCAGAGGGACTCTCTAAGCTACATTCAAGGGTTGGGAGCTCCTCAGCCTAGCCCCAGAGGCTCTGGCCAGGCTGCTCTCTGCTGCCCACACCCAAACGCCAGTTGGCTGCCACGTTCCTCGGTGCTCCAGCCCCACTTTAAGGCCATTTGCGGAGGTGTGGATCTCGTGTCAGTGCCCAGTTACATCCTGCTCCCTCCCAGGCCCCACCCCACCCTGGGTCCTGTCCTTGTGCCAGCCAGCACTGCCAGCCACCTTCTGGGTGCCCACCGCGGCCCCCTGAGAGGACTAGAAGCTGCTCTAAGACAGGCTCCCCGGTCAGTCCGTGGGCTCTCGGGAGAACCCTTTCCCCAAGCGTGCTTCCCACAGAGCCTGGGGCCTCACCTCTCTCCTCGGCCTCCAGGGCTTCCTGTAGGAGCCGAAAGGAGCTAGACTGGCGCGGAGCCACGCGACCCTCGCGGTTTTCCTGCAGCATCTTGAACACCTCTGAGTCCTCTTCCAGCACGAGGCTCCCGGCTTCTGAGTCCGCGCTGCTGCATGGCGAGGCCACCAGGAGTGAGGGTCCTGCAAGCCTCGCAAACCCGGGGAGAAAAGCGTGGGGGACCCTGACCCCTGGGCTTAGAGGGCGGGGACCCATCCCAGGGAAGTCAGCGTCCTACCTGTATCCCACCTCCCACGCCCTGCCCCAGGCCCTGCAAGAGCCCCCCAGGTCCCGATCCGCAGGCCCCGCTTGTACCTGAACCTAGGGCTGGAGCACCGTTGGGTAAGCACCCGCACAGCTGAGTCGCCCGCGCGGCCCAGGCCCGCCTGTGGGAGGAAGGCGGGGAGGAGTCAGCCGCGCCCTGGCCCAGGGCCGCTATCAGGCATTGTTCCCAGGTTCCCGCCAGGGGGCGCCCGACCTTCGCTGCCCCTCAGGCCAACTGTCCCGGAGCTCAGAGCCGGTGCACTGGGGATGCTGGGTCCGCGCCCAGCTGCACGAGTTCTGCAACGGGACCGGACAAGGGGCCAGGGGGAGGACAGCTGGAGACCAGCTCCTCTCTGACAGACCACACACTACAAGTCCTCAGAGAGCTGCTCGCTGGGCCAGGCTCCAATCCGCAGAAAAGCAGGAGATGCTTCCTTAGCGAGGCGGTGGATGAATGTAGCATGGGCCTTCTGTGCCACCCGCTCCTGTCCTAGCAGGGCCGCCCTGGGGTGCCCCCTCCCACAGCCCCAGGCTGTCTGGACCTGGCTCTGGGGACCCCTCTGTTCTGAGCCCACACCCCGGCCCCAGGGGGGTCAGTTATCCCGGGCTGTGGCATTGTTCTCCAAGTAGAAACCTCACCTTTCACCACAGCTGTGGATCTGAGGCCAGTTTCCCTTCTAGGGTCCTTGTCATCCTAAATCCACTAAGTGAAGACCCAGTGTGGGGCTGCACATCTGCCATCCTAGCACTCTGGGAGATTGAGGCAAGGGGATCACAGGCCCCTGCCTAGCCTGGGCAGTTTAGTGACTTAAGTGAGACCCTACCTGTTTTCTTCTTCATTTTTGGTACCAGAAATCGAACTCAGGGCCTTGCGCTTACTGGGCAGTTGCTGCACCTCTGAGCTATAGCCTCAGCCCTAGGCACTGTCTCAAGGAAAATAAAATTAAAACAAGGTCTCACTATGTCGTACAGGCTGACCTTGAATTTACTATGTAGCTAAGATTGGCCTCAAACTCAGTGTTCCTCCTGCTCAGCCTCCTGACTGCTAGGATCACAGGCATGCACCACCATATCCAGCTCAAAAACAAAAAAACTTTTGAAAAAGCTAGGGATGTAGCTCAGCATGAAGGCCCTAGGTTCAATCCCCAGTGCCACCCCAAAAAATTAAGTTCATGGGTGAACTATGGAGTCCAGTGAGAAACTGCACACATCCTTAAGCCCAAAATGAAAACTCTGGAGTCTCCAGATGAACCTCAAGACCTCACCTGCCAGCCCTGTCCAGCAGGGCTCACCCTGTCACCACTCCTGGGGGGTCTAAGGTAAGGGGGCTGAGGGTCAGGATGGCACAGTGGCTTATCCCAGCCACCTGTGGCATCAGAGGCTGGGCTGCACTCTGTGTCCAAGCACCTAGATGGCCATCAAATGCTGTGCTGTCCACTGAGAGACTGGGAGATAGTTTCCTCGAGATCCGTGTCACAGGCTGGGGAGTCGCTTAGCGCAGAAGTGCTTGCCCAATATGCTGAAAGCCCTGTGCTCCATCCCCAGCACAGCAAAAAGAAAGAACAATGTCACATCTCCAGGCAGGCCAGCACACGCCCTCCACAGGACACATACCCAGGAGACAGGGAGGGCTGACAGCCAGCCCGGGTCCCTTGCAGAGCTAAGTTCCCCACCCACCAAGAAGGAGAGGTGCTTCCTTCCCTGGGCATTGGCTCAGCACGGTGTGTACCTGCCCAGCGGGGCAAGTTGTAGTTCCCAGAGGGCTGGTGACACCCTGTACTCTGGGCTCTCTACAGCTGCAGCCAGCCAGAAGCACACTGCAAAGCCAAGGATCTCTGCCACTCCGGCCCACAGCCTTCCTGGAAAGGGGCGTGAAACCCTCACTCAGAGGATGGCTGCCTCTGCCTCCTTCCCTCCCTCCCGGGCGGGCAGCCCAGGCACAGAATAGACCCTTCATCAAGAGCACATCTGCAGCCGGAACCCCTCCAGGAAACTCGGGGTGCTGGTGCTGGGTGGAGAGTGGGAAGGGGGATTGAGGGTCATGTGGGCACCGGGAGAAATTCTGCAGTTCATTAAGCTTAGGAAATTAATCAGATCAAACATCAAATGTGCTTAGTCCTCATGGTGCTCAAGCCTCCAAGACGCTGAAGTGCAGTGGCTCCCAAGAGGGACTCGGGACCCATTGTGCAGCCTGTGGGGTTAGAAATTCCTCTGATTTCCATGAATGCATCCCCAGAGCCCAGAGGGTGCTGGACATGCAGCAGCTGTTCCATTGATATTTGCCAGCGGAATGACAGGAGTCCTTAGGGTCAGAGAAGGGAACTCAGCGTCCAGTCTGCTCTGAGGCCGAAAAGGAAGGGGGGCCCGGCCCAGCTTTCAGCAGAGGTAGAACTGCCCGGCATCTCCCCACCACCCAGGCCAGGCTCCCCACTCATAGCTGGGCTTGTGAAAGCACGGACTGCTGCCCCATACCCCATGCCCCTTTCAGCAGGTCTAGACCAATGCCCGAGAATCTGCATTTCTAATAGGTTCCCAGGTGTTAACGACAGTTCAAAAACTACCAGGCACAGTGGCATACGCTTGTGATAATGTGCATTTGGGAGGCTGAGGCAGGCGGACTGCTGTGAGTTTGAGGCCAGCCTGAACTCCATAGTGAATTTAAGGTCAGCCTCAACTATACAGCGAGTCCCTGTCTCAAAAAATAAAAGAACTACTCCCTGGTGCCACGTAGACGCCCACTTGCCGAGGTTGGAGCACCTCCTGTGCTGCCACTGAGCACCAGGCTCCTGCTGAGACAACAGCCCTCAGGAGACCGAGGAAGGCAGCAGGGAGGGCACAGGCTGGGCCCAACCTCCAGTCCTAGGCCACGTTCACTCCCAGCCTGTCAGGGACCACAGACAGCTCCCTGTCCCAACCTTGCAGGCCTCCTTCAGACTGCCGCCCTCCTCCTACTCTGGGGGAGCTGACCCTTGCCTCATTCTCATTGGAACCCCACCCCTTCTGCCCTCCTGTGGCCAGCAAAATTCCTGACAAAGCCTTCTCAGGCCGCCGGGCCCACAGTTCTCTCCCTTCCCGAAGGCCTCCGCTTGTGTGATTAGCAGCTTACTGCTGGGGCTTAATTGTTCCAAAGCCATTCACCGTTCCCCCTATGACAACTGCATCCGACAGGACTTACAGACAGGCCTCCCCTGAGACAGACTCATCCTCAGTGCCCACCCCGCTGATCCCCAGGGAGCCCCCCCAGCCCCCCATCCTGCCCCTCCCTTCTCTAGAGCCTCCCTCAGCCATCCCCAAACGGCCCCCTGTCTGGAATGCAAAAGCAGCCTAGAGGTGAGATGGCAGCAGCTGGGCCTCATCCCCTTCACCCCAAAGGCCAGACCGGACAGGCCCCCGCAGCTGTGGGCAGGGCTGCTGGTGCCTCTCCCCTGACGCCCTCGCCCTGCCCTTGAGGAGGAGAAATGCCACCCGGGTTAGGCTGTCACCAGCGGGCCTAGAGACCTGGGGTGCGAGGGCCCAGCAGAGCAGGGGGGAAGACAGGGGCTTGGGGCTGTCTGTAGTCCTTCAGGGGTCCCCAGACTGAGAGAGGAGGACGAAGGGCTTGGCACAAATGTTGAGGGCTCGGATGGGGAGGAATGTGTTCAAGAGATGCAGCCAGAACCCAGAGGAAATCAACCCAACAACAGCAGCAAAACTATGTCAGCCCCAGCCCAAGAGAAACACACTGGGATGGGAGGAAGCCAGTGGGCAGGGAGGCAGCCAGGGAGGGAGGAGCCCAGGGGGAGCCCCACTCGCCTGTCGCCTGTCGCTAGGAGATGGCCCCACAGGTGGCACCAGCTGCCTGCTATCCTGGGGGTGCTGCTGGCAGCCCCGGAAAGGGGAGGCACCGCTCCTTCCCCAGCGACACTCACCTGGCGGCCTGTGGAGCGGCTCCCAGGGGACAGGCAGGACAAGCGGTCGGCAGCAGTTCCAGGGAAGGCAACCGCTTGGGTCCGGCTCTGGAAGCTGAAACGGGTGGGGGCAGTGTGAGCCCCTGCTGCCTGTTCCAGAGGGAAGGGGGCTCCTGGCACCTCCACTCTCAGCTGAGGCTCAAGGGCTAGCCGGCTCAGGGCACCTCTGCTGCTCACCTGTGGCTGATTGGTGTCTCTCCCAAGAGGCCCAGTGGGCTGCTGGGGGGTGGGGTGAAGGGGCTACTCGGCCGGGGGCTGAGGGAGATGGGGCTGGAGTAGGAGGACCACAGGGAGGACTGGCTGTCGGGGCGTGTCCTCAGGAAGCCCTGTGGAGAGAGCGGAAGAGCTGGGCTGCCGCCCCTCCCCTGCCTCGAGCCAAGGTCCTCAGGGCTGGTGGCACCTGCTTACCTGGAAGCAAGAGGCCAGTACTTCGGAGGAGCCATCGCCATTGGTCTGCCCAGGAGAGGCAGCTCGGGACCTGTGGGGTCAGCAGAGGAGGGAGAGTCCTGAGGTCCCAGACCTTCCACCTTGCCGTGCTGTTCTCAGACTTGGTTCTCAAGACTGACAAAACACCCAGGATGTTGGGATGTTGCACTGTCAACTTGATGTTTTTTGGTGTGGTGTGTGTGGGTTCTTGAGACAGGGTCTCCTTATGTAGTTCAGCCTGGCCTTGAACTCACAGCAATTCTCCTGCCTCAGCCTCCCAAGGGCTGGGATTATACTGATGTGTCATCATGCCCACCTTGTATTGTCAACTTTTTATATTGTTTGTTGGTTTTTTTTTTTGTTTTTTGAGACAGGGTCTCACTTTGCAGTTCAGGCTGGTCTTGACCTCACTGTGTAGCCTCGGCTGACCTCAGACTTGTGATCGTCCTGCCTCTGCCTCCTGAGTACTGAGATTACAGATTGCACCACCATGTCCAGCTTTGTGCCCCTGTAATTGCTGCACTCCGGGAGCAGGGGGATGGTAAGTTTGAGACCAGCTTGAGTAACTCAATGGCTTGACAAGACCTTGCCTCCGAATAAAAAATAATAAAAATGACTCTGGATGGGGCTCAGTGTGAAGTCTTTGGGTTCAATCCCCAGTACGAATAAAGAAGAAAAAATTAGAACCAAAGAAGGACATCATTTCATAATCATAGATTTCAACAAAAAGTTCTATAAATTCAACTTGATTACAAAACCCTCCTGTTCTCCCCTTCCCTTCTTTTCCCCCCATTTCACCTAGACTTTGTAGATCACTGTTGGGGAAGTTGGCTGATGTCATAAATAACCCTTTATTTTATTTATTTATTAATTAATTAATTTATTCATTTTTGGTACCGGGGATTGAACTCGGGACCTTACAGTTGCAAGGCAGGCGCTGGAACCACTGGGCTAAATCCCCCCCCATCTTTTATATTTTACCTGACACCTGGAGAGGGAGAGGGAGAGGCCCGAAGCCCAGGCTCCATGGTAACTGGGCCACACGCCCCATTTCTCCCACCCACAGGCTTGTATGGCCCAAATGCCCTTGCCAGGGTCCCTTTCCCCAGGCTCCTCCCCGCAGGAGCTCTGCCACCCTGGGAAGAACGCAGTCATCCCGGGGAGCTTGGCTCAAACTCCAGCTCAGAGCTAGCCTTCCTGCCTCCAAGTTCTAAACACCACAGAAGCCTCGGGGTCCAGGGTGGGGGCGCAAGGAGAGGACTTGGCAAAGAAAGGAGACCTTGGCCTCCCGGGGTAGAGCTGGGGTGAAGTTGGATGCCCGGGGTAGGCAGCAGGGCCCTCCAACAGGGACCTGGGAGGAAGCAATGGTGCCCGCACCTCTGCTCCGTCCCCACTGGGACTGCGCCCCCTGTAGGTCTTGGCTGCATTTGCAGATGTCATGAGCCCTCTGCACTGGCACAGTGGGAGGCAGTGTCTGGGAGCCTCTGAAGACCACAGGCAGGGCCAGAGAGAGCCTGGCAGGGGTGGTGGTGGCCAAAAGGCAAGAAGCACCTGACTCAGGTCCCAGCCCCGCCCCCCAGGGCTCTCCTACTGGAGAATCCCCCAGCACGCCTGAGCCGTGACTCACTGCGAGGCCCCACCCTGGGGAGTCAGCTGTTCCCCCCAAACCCCGTGAGCCCGGGCTCCGTCTTCACTCAGCGCTCAGAGCAGCAATGGGGAGGAATGGACGAACTCCATGTGCAACGAGCCCCCAACTTCCTCCCCCAGCGCCTCTTACAGGAAGGGGTCCTGAGCCCCAGCCCGGGCACACCTGGCCCAGAAGCTTCCCCTCTTCAACCCACTTCATGCCCACACCCTGCACTCTGCACACTCTTGGGAACCAGTCAGACTCGGGCTTCCAGGTGGCTGGTGCCAGCTCGCCCTGCCCAGCCCGTGGCTGCACGCCCAGCCTGGCGCCCACCTTCACCCAGCTGGCTTTGGGGACTCCCTTCAGCCCACCCTGGCTCCCACTTTCTCTGGGGCAGGCCCAGAGCCAGGAGACTGTCGGCGATGCTCCCGAGGAGCCGGGAGGCCAGACAGGGGCAGGGGTGGTAGCAGGGTGCGCCGGGCCTACCTGTCCAGCTGCAGTCGCAGGGGGGATGAGCTCTGGCGGATCTTGCTCTGGGCCTCAGCATGAAGCATTCCCGCTGCACTCTCCCCATTGATGGCCGTGATGATGTCCCCAGGCCGGAGGTCAGCGGCCTCAGCCCTGCCCCGCTGGTGTACCTGGAAGGATGAGGGCCAGTGAGCCCGCGGGTCCGTGCTGGGACACACAGGGAGGCGGGGCTGAGCTTCCGCTGCCCACTCTGCCCACCGTGTCTGCCAGCTAACCGGCTGGTTCTCTCCCAACACCCCAGAGGCAGACCCCCGGCCTGCACCCAGGCAGGCTAGGGAGGCCGCCCACGGAGTACAGTGCACGATGCCAGACTTTCAGGACCCAGCTGGGAAATCTTGCACAGAGAGCCCTGCCTGTGCAAATCATACCTTGCCAGTGGCTGCCTACACCCCGCCCTCTGCATGCACCCTGGCCCAGGCCAGCTGGAGAGGACACTGCCCAGCACCCCCAGGTGCTGTGACCACCCTAAATGGCTGTCGGCGGTGTGGGATTAGTGACCTGGGAGGAAGGTGCGGGCTGTCCTGGGCCTACTCCTGTCCACTCCCTGGAAGCTCGTGCATGAGTGCCCCACGTCCCGCGCAGCAGGTCTCACACTCAGACCCGTCAGCACCACCGGCCGGCCACAGGCCACAGGCTCCAGAACAGAACAAGAGTGGCACCTGGGGCCCCGCGTGGACAGGGGAGGCCTAACTTTCAGGGGAGCTCCTGCTGTCCTGGCACCAGCTCTTACCTTGGTCACCATGATGGGCGTGTGGAAATCCCTGCCCCCGGTGATGCGGAAGCCCCAGGGCGCCGGCCCCACCACGTCCACAGTCAGCGCCATACCTGAGGAAGAGAGGGTCAGGAGGCGGGCTCCGTCCAGCCTACCCAGACACAAGAGGGGAAAGTGGGTGGCAGGTCCCGGAGCAGCCTGGCAGGGCTCGGGTGCGTAGGGTGGGTAGAGGAAGTGCCTAAGTCCCGCCCTCCTCACCCCGAGTTTCACTTCCCCCCATCCTGGGAAGCTGACTGAGTTCCCCAGCCCAGTGGGCTTCAGCTGGGCAGGCAGCTGTTCCACCACAGGATGGGGGCTCACTGGAGATGGGTGGGAAGGGGTGCCAGGTGGAGGCAGACATCCACATTTTCTCCCTCTCCCCTCCTCCACCAGCAAGCTGTGTGTGTCTCTAGTGTTTGCTTCCTGTCCCCAAAACTGACAGCACAAGGTACTTCCTCCCCATTCTGGGGAGGGCAGGCAGGTGGCCTCAGGACAGCAGGGCCCTGGCACAAGAGGGATGGTGAGGAATTGGGTTGGCCTTGCCAGGCTATGCCAAAAGCTGGCCATGCTAGGGGCTTGCTGGCTGCCAGTCCAACCCTAATAATGTGGGTCAGAGGGACAACAGCCAGCTCCCACCTCTCCGGGCTGCTGCCTCTGAACAGCCCCAGCCCCTTCCACCAAGTGGGCCACAACCACCCGTGGTACCAGCCGAAGGGTGAGCTGCCCAATGCTGCCTGCCAGCTGGGGCCATAGCCTCCCATCCACTGCCCCCTCTGCTGGGCACGAGAGTGTCCATGCCGACCAGCCCTTGTGGGATTTCCTGAGCCTGGAGGTCTGGAGCCAGGAGCCAACCCTGGCAGGAAGCTGCAGTGCCAGGCGGGGCACCACCCAGCCCAGGGCCCATCACAAGGCAGCCCCTGGAGAGGTCCAGAAACCTCACCTAGGTCTGGAAGAGCCCGGGGAGCAAGGGGACACTGAGGCCAGCGGTCTGTCCATTCCACCCCGGCCAGCTGGCTTCCCTTTGGCCCCAGCTTGGCCTCTGTCCCTCCTCGGGCCCCCAGGCCGGTGCCGGCAACGCAATGGCCCTGAGATTTCCCAGACCTTTGAGCCGGCCGGCGGACTCCGAGCTGCAGGCGGGTGCGGGGAGGAGCCCAGCCCTGTCTGCCCGGCTCGCCCAGTTCGGGAGCCTTTTTAGCTCGGAGGCCAGTGTAGTCCTGTGGACCGGATCCGGGGGCAGGGATGGGGGGAAT